TTCGTTCATCAAATGGGGCACTACGCACGATATGTGGGGCAAGGACAGGTACATCGCAGCACAGGCAAGCAAGCTGGGGCAATATCGCGCACAAAAGAGCACTTGAAAAGCTTACGGAAATGTAGTCAAGGCAAGCCTTTAGCAGACAGAGCGCGCTACCTCACACTTCTGGGAGCACATCGTACACATCGCGTCTCGGTCGTTTTCCTGGTGCAAGTACCTACTTCTACCATATCGGCAACAGAGGCGTCATATATCACTTTCTCGGCTCCAGAAGCCAACAATGTTCGTAGAGTTCAAGCGGCATCGGTTGGCCTTGGTCCTGGATCCAGTTCCCCTGGAAAAACAGGTAAGACCTCCAAGAGAGCCCGCAAGCCCCGTGCACTTCGGAGACGGCATCTACCCAGACCCCCAGAAGCAATGGAGGCGCATGAGGTTTGGCAAGCGGCTAGGTTCCAGGCCTTACGGGAGTTCCATCTACGGCAGTCTCGAAGGCGGGATCGAACCCGAGAATGGGGCAATCTATTTCGGGGACACTATTTACGAGTATATGATTTCTTTCTACGACGACAAGTAGCACGCTTCCATACACAGGGACCAGTATATCTATATGATCCTGCACATGCTATTTTACTTATCAGATTTTCTGCCTGGAGATCTCATGAAGTTGTTTGGCAATATGCAGTGGCTCAAAAAAATCATAACAATGATTACCTTTACACTCTCTGGGGGTTACGTGCAGTATTCCCGTTCTGGCGCGAGAAGGCAATTGCACAAGGGTCGATTTCGGCGCATCTCGAATTGGCCGGGTTACCGAAGCCAGGAGGATTTACGATTACCCTGAATCGGCCCGAGGATGTACCCACCGTGCGACGATGGCTTGGCATTGTATTACATCACACCTCTCATTTCAGACCTGCATGGACCTTACTTGCGCGGAAGCAGCTTCGTGTCACCGTGGCCGCTGCGACCACCATTCAGAAGAAGTGTGCTTCTTTTTCCAAGGATCTTGATCGACACCCTATTCATGACATGAGTTCATTATGTTCAGATGATCTTGAGATCGCGGCCGCGGGACGTGATGTGTTTCGGATTCCTCTGTGTGGCAAGTTACCCTGGCTTCCTGAGGTGCAAGACACTCTCGATAAGAGTAGTTATCGCTTGTGTGCATCTTGGCTTTCTCGTGTCGCTTTAGACTTCATCTTCTTGCGGGTCCTATCGGTTGTGAACCCGCAGGTCTCGGAGAAGCCACGCCCTCTCACGACGCAGGCTCAGGCCTTGTATCGTGTATGCCAGGCTTTGCAGGAGGTTCGACCAATCATGTCTTTCACGGTCGAGGATAAAGATCCTCGTGCGATGTGGGCTGTAAGTGTGAAACATATGCAGTTACGCTGGCTTGGCTTGCTTGCTGGTGCAAAAACGAGATGGCGCTTGAACATACTACCATCATCACATATACTGCAGTGGTATAGGCTTACATGTGATTTTAGCATACCAAAGAGTCTACGTCTCCCACAACAGCGTGTCATCAACACGAAGCATCTACCGGATTGCTACCCTACTGTAAAAAGGAAATGCTATGAAGATGGGGGTTCCAAAAGATGCCAAAAGGAGGGCCACTCATGTATGCGTAATATATGTAGCTTCTACCGTATCCCTGGAAGAAAACTATTTCAGAAGATATCTCGGGGCATTACCTACCTCACTAACATCATCTTTCCTGGCTGGGGCTTCAAGGACCTGAATACGGCGTTTGAGGACCTACATACAGCGACCTCTTGTCTTGCTCCTCCTTGGAGGCCTCATCACCCTGAACAGGTCGTCTGTGTGCGAAGTCGGCGGCAGATGCAGTTTCCAGGCGTCACAGTCTCTGATGCTGGTCAGGCGTATGAGGCGCTCGAGCCAGGTGCGATTCGGCAAGCAGTGGATGCTCTCTTTGCCCGTGCTGAGCGAGACCTGAATACACACACTCTCTCCGTGCTGCACACATCGTCGTCGCAGGTCGTGCTCGGCGGTCGCGTCGGTGTTAGGCACTGGGACCGTACGGTGTTCATCTTCAGGAGCCTCAAGAGGGCCATCGAGGGCTTCCTGGGTTTCAGGTTTTTCCTGTTCTCGGGCATTGCGCTGGTGCAGCTTTCTGGAATACCAATCGGAGGACCGTTATCGGGGGCCATCTTGCACTTGGTTTTATCGTTTCTTGAAAACAAGTTCGACGCGGACCCCAGACCCCGACTCACGACCAGGACACGACATCTTGAGTTTGCTGCAGGTAGGTACGTGGACGACACCATCCTTCTCTCTTATCGTGTGTGCCGTACATGTTTGTCACGACAGATGTCTATGGTATATAAGGGCACTGTAAAGTTCGACCTAGATCATGATTATCAATGTTGTGGTAATAGTGTTATGTTTCGGTACTTGGACGCTCTTGTATACTGGGGCTTCGATGGGATCACATACATACCATACCATAAAAATGAGCTCTATGTGCTAAGCGGTGACGTCAACCATATGAACAAAGCAGAGCGTTATCCCTTACCTCGGTTTTCTTAGTCGACGACAACTGGCCCAACTACGATCAGAGCTAAAAGGACGTCTTCATAACTGGGATCGACTACAGCCCGACAACATTGATTTTATCATTGTGAGTTCTATTGATATGGCATATGTGTATCGCATGGGGTACCCTGCTAAGATCGCACGTAGAATTTGGCACAATCTATATCCTGGGGGTGAACGACAAGAGCTTGTGTACCTCTGCCTTGACCTCGTACAACGCACATGCCGTCACCTTATACCCACAGCCGCAGCCGTATCGTCTCAGCTGGATTGCGTGTGCTCTCTATTACGTGAACGACACCAGCAGCCCCCGTTCAGCACACCAGTCTCGGCGACGATGGGCCCACCCACCAAGTCAGGCAGCAAGGGCTACGACAACTGGTCCAAGGGCGGTGGTGGAAAAGGATATGGCAACTACGGCGGCTCTCAGATGGGCTTTGGTGGCATGCTGGGGCAGTGGCATGGCATGGTCGACAACTTGCGAGCCTTTGGCGAGATGGGGCGCATCAGCGCGCTCATCGCCAACGCCGAGGGCTCGAACGCGAACGCCGCCCCTCCAATGCAGCCGCAGACGCCCGCTCAACACGTACCAGTTGCTGGCATGCAGACAGTTGGGCAACCTGCACGGGATCTTGCTATTGCCTTGACGGACGTCATGGGTGGCGCGCAGGGCTCGGACAGCAAGTTGCAGGCGACCATCAAGAGGCTCCACGAGGCGGCCGGGCTCGACACCGGCAGCAGTGAAGCTCTTGAGGACAACCCCGTGATCAAACGTATGAAGCAGGAGATGGCTGCCATGCGCGACGACATTAAAGTACATACCAGTCAGTTAAAAGATATTCAGAACGCCACGTCCTCGACCTCCGCGGATGTTCTTGCCATGCGTCAGCTTCTTGAGAGCTCTCTTGGGCTTGGAAGCGGTGGTGGCCAGGCCTCGTGGCATGGGGCCTCTGGCAAGGCCCAGGGAAGGGGCAGCCGACGGGTGGTGGCGGGATGATCCCTCCTGCTGCCAACGTCCCCGCCTGCAAGGCGTTGATGACGCTCGCCCAGCACGAGTTGGCCCTCAGCTACCTCGGCATCTCCAAGGCGCGTGAGGATGTGGCCAACTGGGCCAAGCAGATCCCTCTCGAGGGCTTGGCGTTCGTTGCTTGGTGGTCGGAGATTGGCAAGAAGAAGAGCCTGGCGCAGTGGCTCAAGAAGCTCGAGAACTTAGGTGCTACGCCAGAGCAGCGCCAGAACCTCGATCTTCCAGGAGTTGGATCTTTGTTGTATCGCTTCTTGGACAGTGAGGGTGAGTGGACCGACGCGCCAATGCAGGATGTCCCCGTTGCAGCATGAAAAGACAGTGTCGGTACCCAAGTGCACCCTGAACCCGTCCCAGCATATGTACTAGTACCAGGTCCCGAGGATCCAGTTCCAGGTCCAATGAGTTTGTGTAAGCAAGGCATGTCTGTTGCACGCGCGTGTCTTCCATCCACCTATGCCTCCTTTGTTTCGTTTTTCTGGTCCCTATCAATTTTACTCTGCGTGTGGTGCGCAGTGCAGGCAGCCATCTTCACACTTAATCTTCGTGTCTGGATCACTGAGTTTTGCCACAACATCAGTGCTTCACTAGGGGCCATCATCCCTTCCATCCTTGGACGGTGGCTCGGTGAGTATTTTCTTTGCCCTCTGTTCCCCTCCCTCCTCTCCTGTACGCAGCCCAGCTTGGATGACGGAGTTTTCCCCACAGACACAGGCCAGGGGTGTGGCCTAGATGTGCTTGCAGGCTTGGCACTCGCGCCAGGCGCGCTCAGCTTGCTTGGAGTCGTGACCGCGCGTGTGGCACGTTGGTTCGTTGGGCCAACCATTACTGGTGGTATCCCCGCCATCCTGCAGTGGTTCAGCTAACCGTCTCGCGTGTGTCCTAGGACAAGGGGCGAGGCCTTTCATGCTGAATGATCTTCAGAGGATCTCTCTGTACTGATTTGTATGATTTTCCCGCCCAGCTTATCCTGAATTGGGAGGCTGTGTGTGTGCTTTCACTCTTTAATATCTTGATATTATTGATTGCGCCTGCGCGTGGGGCAGGCATCGGGCTCAGCGCACGTCAACACCATGCACATCGATCGCCGCCTGCCGCCTCTCTCTTTGCCTGCAGCCACATCTCTCAGAGGATGGCCGAAGAGCCACGGGAGTTTCGAGCTCGCAGGTGGTGCTCATGAGCGAAACCCTGACCACTCCTCTGTAAAAAAAAAAAAAAAACACAACCGTACAGAGCCTTTCGGCACTTCCGACGCCATGGATAACTGGTGGTGAACAGTTTTATCTTTGGTCTTTCAGAGGTTGCAGATCGACTGAACTATTACTCTTCACGGTGTGTGTGTGTGTGTGTGTCTATGTCGACATCGAACCCCTCGGAGCACGTGCATGGCCCTCGTTGCCCCGAGGCGGCCCCGTGCGCGCGCGAGTCCTCCGCCGCGGGCCCGAACCAGGCCTCGCAGAGCGGGCAGCCCCCCGAGGGGTCGTACGAGAACCTCCGCCGGGGCGGCCCCGGGGCGGCGCGGCGCGTCGCCCCCGCCCTCGCCGACGACGACGGCGTCGCCCCCCCCCCCTCGTCGCCGACGGCGGCGTCGTCGCCCTCGCCGCTGCTGACGGCGCCGTCGTCGCCCCCTCGATCTCCGACGGTTCGGGCGGGGGGTAGTGGGGGGTGGCCTACATGGGCGGTGACGACAAGAGCCCTAATTACAGGGGCACCTGAGGGCCCCTGTTCGAGCCAGAGGGTGCTCAAAAGAGGCCCGAACGTGCGCTTTTGGGGCCGGATTTTTTCACCCCCCATCCGGGTCACCCCCCAATCGCACCCGCCCGAACGGTACGATTTCTGTCCGTCCCGGCGTGTTCCCTCGGTCTCGGTCCCTGGGCCCCCCCCGGGGCCATGAACGACGGCTCCAGGAAGAACTGGCCTCCGGGAAGGGGTCGGGACATCTTCTAGGGCGCGGATTGAAAAAAAGCTCATCCACGGATGTCTGGGCCCTCGACGCCGACGGCGACGAAGTCGTCGTCCTTCCCTAAAACTATTCCACAAACCTCGATCGATCAATCCTCGATCCATAACGGCGGCGGCGGTGGCGGAGGCGGCGACGACGACGACGACGACGACGACGACAACGACGACATCGGCGACAACAACGAAGACGAGGACCGCGACGAAAACGAGACGACGAAAATGGCACGACACGACTGGGAAGCTGTGGAAGAGGGCCCTGGCCTCAGGTGCTCCTCTGGGCCCAGGGCCGACTACGAACACGACCACGACGACGACCGCGGCGCGGCGCCGACGAAGAAGACGGCCACGACGAAGACGACGACGACGGCGGCGACGACCACAACGAAGACGGCGGTGACAAAGACGATGTCTACGACGACACAGACGGCGTCGACGGCAACGGTGGCGGCGGCGACGACAACGAAGACGGCGACGACAACAGCGATGACGAAGACGACGACGAGGGCGACGAAAACGACGGCGGCAACGACGACGGCGACGACGACGACGGTGGCGGCGGCGGCGACGACGTCGAAGACTGCGGCCACGACGGCGACGAAGACGGCGGCGGCGAAAGAGAGGGCAGGCGGAGGGGCCATCGGCACCCTGGCCTGCCCAGGCAGTCCTGGCGGGCGCGCGACGCGGGCCGCGGGCGCGCGGGCAGCAGGCGGGCTGCCCGGCCCGCACTCCGCATCGCTCCGCCGCCTCCTGGCCCCAATGTTAGATCGGGCGTGTCCTCCTACAGGGGGATTTTGGGACAAAAAAAAAACAGTCTAGAAATAATTCAAAACTTTGAAACAACAAAGAAATCGGCCCCAGACTATTTTTCAACTATTCTTGAATATCCCTCCTGTAACTAGAGGGAGAGGGCCGACTCAACCCTAGCCCCAATGGCGTGGCCCAGGCCCCATTGGCCGATCTCCCCCCCCGAGGTGGGGACGCAGGCTGCTTCCCTCGGGCTTCGAGGGTAGCACGTCCCCAACGACATTCCGGATGCTGAGGCTGATGTGGCACGGCCCGGAGGAGATGGGCGTCGGCCAAACGATACAGGATTCGGCCTGACCTAAGGAACGATAAATCAGGAACGAAGCCCCTTGTCTCCAAGGAACACCAGGGAGGCTCGCCGCCAAAAAGGTAGCGGAACGCATGCGAACCGAAGGATTGACCGAGCCCCTTTTGAAAAGTAAGTGTTCCTTATTCAAGCCGCTCACTGTACTGACACGCGCAGCAAACAGCTCCCCCGCCCCCCCGGCGCCAGCCCACCGCAGGCGCCGCCGGGCGCCTCGTCCGATGGGCGCCGCAGGGCTCGCCAGCCGGCCCTGAGATCCGCCGCTGCAATACACATGCCCCGCCAAGGAGGAGGAGGAGGAGGAGGAGGAGGAGGAGGAGGAGGAGGTGGGGGAGGAGGAGGAGGAGGAGGAGGAGGGAGGAGGAGGAGGAGGAGGAGGAGGAGCAGGAGGAGGAGGAGGAGGAAACATCGCAACAGATCGCGACCGTAGCCCAGGACCCCTGCGCACGCCGCGCTGCGAGCCAGTCTGCGAGGGCCGCGGGGCTCGGAAGTACTGTGCACAAGCGGCCCCGCCACACTCGCGCGGCTCGGGCCCACGGCCGCGCACATGGCTCCGTCCCCCCACGGCTCCGGGCCGCACGACCAGAACCCTATAGCTACAGCTTCTAGTACATAGGATCTATAATAAAAAAGAGGCAACAAACAACATACGATTTTTATTCATGATTAATTTAGCAATAAATGTATGCAGGAACTAATCGTTGTCTTTAATACTAAACCCCTTCATTTTTACTACATGATCCGCACGCGGAGCATGTATAAAAACGGCACTGTATAGACCTATGGTCCTGCTGCATCGCGACCCTATAGTCCTAGGACCTCTAGTCCCAGGACTCTAGACCACTCTCGCTATAGACCAGGACCCTAGACCAGCCGGATCGATCTGTGATGGTCCCCAGGCCTGGCACAAGACAGAGTCGCCCGCGATGGAAGAAATGCGACTCCAGGGTCTCAGGGTCGAAGACGAGCAACGGCATCGTCGTCGTCCGTGGCGGAAGGCTCTCCTGCTCGGACTCGGCGAGGCACTCGAACTGCCCGCGGAAGTCGAATTTGCCCGCGGCGCCTGGGCGAGGGGAGGGGAAAATACAAGACTTATGTGGTAAGAAAGCACCTAGAACGTACACTTTCTGTTCATTCTGATTCTTCGGGAAGAGAGGGTTCTTCCTCATCCCCCACCACTTCCTGCGACAAGAAATCATCGTCATCGTCCACATGCAAGTCCTCTTCAGTATCCTGCTCCTCCCCCTCATCCTCCGACTCAGACTCCTCCATCCATCCATCCATCCATCCATCCTGCCTCCTCCTCCTCCTCCACCTCATCCTGAAAATAATGTAAAAAACATTTTTCCTTGGAGGATCCCAACTCTTGAGCCAAACGGCGACGGTCGACGCACGCGGGCGGCCCTACTTAACCAAGCCGTGCCCGCTACGCTCCCTGCTACGTTACAAGAACGCATCCTTCTCACCCAGTCGCAACGCTATGTTCTAACACCCCCGCTCGGCCAGGGTGGCCGACGGGCACGTCGAGCAGCGAACTCAGATCAATCAAACTTGTTAAGGGAAAGTTCGGAGGCAAGAAGTGAAAGCCATGACTCCATGCTAGCCAAACAGAAGCTATAAGACGCAATGTGGCGAATGCAGATGTGTAAACTGATTATAATAAACGAGCTTGCACCTTACATGCTCTTGGAAACATCCCACCCACCAACCCGCAACTTGGTTTGCAAAACCCGTGCGGCGGCGAATGCGGTGAGTGCTTAGCGTTGTTGGCTGGTGCATTTCTGCGGCCGCGCTAGCCCGCGCATGCTCGCGAACACAGCGGCCAGCTAGTTTGGCGCGAGTGACGCGGCCGCGGTGGCGCTGACCGCTGGGCACTTCCCAGCGGGCACCTTAGTGCGGGTCGGTGACTTGGGCGGGCACGATATAACGGCGACTCCGACAACGGTAGACACGATTATGATAATAGTGATGATGGTGACGATGGTGGCGATGACGACGGCAAGGCCAAGGACGGCGCCGATGTTGATCCCGCCCGCCGATAGCGTTGACGATGTGATCGCGCCGGCGATGAAAGCTTTTAGAGGAATTCGACATGCGCGCGCGGTCGACGCGCACGAGTGGCACGCGTGGCATTATTTGACACGGATCGTGCCCCTCTCCAGCACGCTCGCAAGGGTGCTCGAATGAGTCCGACATGCGGCGCGAGAAGCCCGTTTTGCAGAAAATGATGAAAATGTTGGAAAACGATGGTTTTCATCAGAACCCGCAAAACCGCGAGCGCAGGCTTTGTTGAGAACTGATGTTAAAAAACCATGTTGTTCATCATGTTTCGGGGCACTCGTTTTGAAATCCTTGCGAAACCTGAGGTGTTGAAGGATTTCGGCATGCGCGCGCGACGACGCGCGCATGTGCACGTCGTTTCATTTTTGCTGCAAGGGATTATTGCGACAGCACGCGCGCAAGGGCGTTCGAGCGAGTTCGTCATGCGCGTGCGAGGGGACCGTTTGGTAGCATCGTTGAAAAACCGATGGTATTCTTAAGCATTCGCCAGAGCCCGGGCGCAGGCTTTCTGGAAAACCCTTGTTTCGAAATCATGTTTGTTTAGATGTGTTCGTGACTCTCGATTCTGAAATCCTCGCAAAACCGAAGGTTTTCTTCCAGCGTGCGCGCGCGACAACGCGCTCGTGTGCACTCCCCAGCACCTCTTGACGGCAATCCCTCCCCGGCACCTCCCCAGCACCGCCGTTGGGGTTGCCGGGGTCGCCCAGGGCTGTCCCGGGTGGCCCGAGCACCCAGGGGCTCAGGTGCACTGCCCCCCCGCCAGCCAAGGCAAGCCCTGGATGGGGCCCAAAACAGCCCCACAGGTAAATTGAAGTGGCCAGCGAGGACCATACCGCTGAAACACACCTCCACCCCGCAAACCAAACGGACTCTTCGAGACATCCCCACAATCTGGGCGCAAACGGGCCCGTGACGCACCCTTCGTCGGCTGAGCATCCACACCAGGCACGATCGAGCCGCGTCCAGCCCTGGCGACGAGAAGCGTCCCGAGGGCATTGAGAACAAGAGTACCTGTCCGACAGCAATACGAGCATTATTCTTCCTCCCCCTCGTCCACAGTCATCCAGCTCCTCCTCCTCCTCCTCCTCCTCCTCCTCCTCGTCCTCCTCCTCCCACTCCTCCTTCGCTTCGTACTCCTCAACGGCGTCTCATGCGAAACTGACTGGACACCCTCGTACGCGGCCTTTGCCAAGAAATGCGGGGACATCACAAGCCGAACTGACCAGATCACCTCGCGTGCGGGATCTTCAAGCCTAGAGTGGTGACGATGTCTCAAACACAACGGACGAGGCAACCTCAACGCAAAAGATTGGAGGATGTCTTAAGCGACTGGGCCGGACCATCTCTCGCGTAGCGTCTAGGGGCCCAGAGTTTCTAAGATGTTTCAAGCGAAACGGGCCGGACCATGTCAAATCTTGGAAGCCTGGAAATGGGCACCAACATGAACACAGGGGGTTGCCTCCACAGGGGGCAGATGACCCCAGATCTCGGTGTTGGTGGTAATACTTCGGCCACCTTGGAAGCCATAATCTTACCACCATCACCGAGATCGGAATCTTCTTCCCTCGGTGGAGGCGCACCGCCGATATTGGTGTTGGTGTCAATCTCTAGGCCTGCGATGATCGCCTCGGAACGCAGCCTTGCGACGATGTCTCACGCGAAACGAGCCGAGCCACTTCGGCCTGTTGCGCCTCTCTTTCCTCATTGGACGGCCGTGTGCTCGCCGACGGACTTGGCTCCGCCCCCCCTGGTCCTCGTGCTTCTAGTGGCAAGTCGGGCCTGTCCTTCTACAGGGGAGCTTGGACGAAAAATCAAGAATAGTCAAAACATATCCCACGATGAGCAAGCAATGCTCAAAACAAACGTCGCCAGACTATGTTTTGCCTATTTTTGAATATCCCCCTGTAGAGGGACAGGCCCGACTCAATTCAGTGGAGTGTATAGCTTCGGCGACGTTGGCAACATGCTCTGAAGCGTTCGCTTGACTTCGCAGTTCTGTCCTGGCGTGTTCTTCCAGGTTGATTGGCTGTTTTTCGCAATGCATGTTGCGGTCGATGACTGAGATCAAGAGGGCGCTCATCTTGATCGTGAACGCCTCATCCTCGTCGACCGTTCCAGTGCCCAGGGTGGCGCGGCGCTCTAAGTACAACATCATCCTTTGGAGATCTGAGCACCTGGCGCCCTCCAACCCCGGAGGGACGCCCCGCTGAGGGGAAACATGGAGCTGGAATCGGCGATACAGCGCCGATAGATCGACGTTAGGCCCCCAATAGCGAATCCGAAGGTTCCTACGTGGGGTGGGCTATCCAGCTCCTATCGGGTCATACCTCAGGCCTCTGGCGGCTGTTCGGGACGATCTGGGCACCCCAGGGAGCCCACCTGGCGAGGCGCAGGTGGCGCTGGAAGGCATCCCGAGGCCGGGAGCCCACCAAAAACCAACGAGAACATATGAAAATGTCCTCCGCGCTGGGGCCCTCCAATCGGGGCGGGGGGGGCGCACTGACCGGGGCCCGGCTCGGCCAGGGTCCTGCCGCGGACCTGGTCGGCTCCCAAACTCAGGCCGTAGACAAGCGCGCTCCACTACTCGCAAAGTACCTGCTCGCACATGGCCCAGATCTGCCATGGGGATCTGCGATACACTGCATCGAGGCAGACTTGTTTTTCGGACGTTTGCGAGTATGCACTTTGTGAGTAATGGATCGCGCTCGGTGAGGTCAGCCAAAAAGGGCTGGCTGACTCCGTTAGCGTTAAGTCGGGCCTGTCCTCCTACCAGGAGATTTTAAACGAAAAATAATCAATTGTCACAAAATACCCCAACGGTCAACAAATATTCAAAAAATCGTCCCCGTATTATGTTTGAACTATTTTTGAATATTCCTCCTGTGGAAGGCTTAACGTTAGCACTGACCCCCGACTTAACGTTAGCGCTGACCCCCGTTACCGGAGCTCCCAAGCGCCCGCCAGCGCCGCGAGGAGCGCCGCTGCGCGGCGCGGCATCGCCCGCCCGCTCACTGGGGGCGGACCGCGGGCGGCTGACTGCGCGGGGGGGGTCCCTCCTCCCGCTATCCCTCCACCCTCCTCCTCCCCACCTCCCTCCCTCCGTTCCTCAGTCCCTCCATCCCTCCTGCCACTTCCTTTCTCCCCTCGTCTCCCTCGCTCCTCCCGCCTCGTCCTTTCTCCCCTCCTCCATCCTCCCTCCTACCTCCCCTGTCTTCGGATCCGCCGTGCTTTGGGCAATTCCGCAAGTAGTGCGGAAATGTCTGCCCCACTTTTAAAGCTCCTCCCCCCTTTCCCCTCCATCATTCCTCCTCCTCCTCCTCATTCTCCTCCTCCTCCCCCTCCCCCTCCTCCCTCCTCCTCCTCCTCCTCCTCCTCATCATCATCATCATCATCATCATCATCATCATCATCATCATCATCATCATCATCATCATCATCATCATCATCATCATCATCATCATCATCATCATCATCATCGTCATCATCATCAGCATCAGCATCAGCATCAGCATCATCATCAGCAGCAGCATCATCATCATCATCATCATCATCATCATCATCATCATCATCATCAGCATCATCATCATCATCATCATCATCAGCATCAGCATCAGCATCAGCATCAGCATCAACATCAGCAGCATCAGCATCAGCATCAGCATCAGCATCAGCATCATCATCATCACATCATCACATCATCATCATCATCATCAGCATCAGCATCACCATCATCATCATCATCAGCATCAACAACAACATCATCAGCAGCATCATCATCCTCTTCCTCCTCCTTTTCTGCCTGCTCCTTCTCCTCCTCCTCCTCCTCCTCCCCCCTCCTCCCGCTCCCCCTCCTCCTCCTCCTCCTCCTCCTCCTCCTCCTCCTCCTCCGCCTTCTCCTCCTCCTCGTGGTTCTTCTCCTCCACCTCCTCCTCCTCCTCCGCCTCCTCCTCCTCCTCTCCACTCCCAACGCTCAACGATCTGAGGGAAATCCTGGGCGCTTGCGCGGCAACTTGAGACTCAATTGACGTCGGATCCACGGCGTGTTCTCGTCGGACTAACGTCGGATTCGCATCGGAATTGCGGCGGAATTACGTCGAGATCACGTCGGAACTTCGCCGCGCGAACGTCGTTCCAAAAATGACGCGGGTGACCTGTGGACTAGACACCACAACTACTGCTCGCCGCGCCACACCTCCAGGATTTTCCTCTTGGTCGACCTAATTCAAACAAAGAGAGAGAGAGAGAGAGAGTCAGGGAGAAAGAGAGAGAGAGAGAGAAACAACAAATATATAGAGAGTGATTGAATGTTGCGTCGTACTCGGCATTCTGAGAGCCCTCGCTGGTCCAAGGACCGTCAAGACCGACACGGGATGGAAAGCCAACTTTGGGGACAAGGTCGGAATCTCCTGGGACTCCGTAATTAAATCACCCGAGCGAACAGCTCAACCATATGCCATTGTGGGTACTGCATTATGAATCCAGCTTTCGGCGGAGCTCCCGATGGGGCCACGGAACGTGTCAAAGGGGTACCGAAACGGGGCGGGGCCGCCATGCACACCCTGCCACTGGGGCCTTCTGCCGGGCTCACTGTGGCCACAGTGCCAAGGGGTCCTTCGATTGACACCATTGAGGGGGCCCCAGGACACACAAATAAATACACACAAATAAAAATGTTCCCTATATTTTCCCATAGTTTTGGGGTTTTTGTCTTCCCCCCCACTTCCCATATTTTCCCATATTTTCTCGGGAATCGACGATTAACTGTGTCTGTGTGCTTCTTGTCCCTCCTGAATCATGCGGGGGCGAGGGGCGTGCTGAAATGGGGCGGGCGGTCCGCGAACCCTGCCGCTGGATCCTTCTGCGAGGCCCCCTATGGGGCCACGAAGGCTGTGAAGGGTGAAGAGGAATGGAATGGGGCCGCCATGCGAACTTTGCCGCCGGTGCCATTCGGTGGAGCTCCACTTGGGGCCACGAAGCGCGTGAGGAGTGTTCTCAAATGGGGCCGCCACGCAAACCCTGCCACTTGGGTTCTTGTGGAGCTCCCTATGGGGCCAAAAGCCGTCTGAGAACGTGCCGAAGCTGATGGCGGCGATGATAATGATAATGCTGATGGTAATGATAATGACAAGGATACTGCTGATGATGATGATGCTGATGATGACGCTGTTGCTGAAAACGATGCTACTGATGGTGGTGGTAATGCCGATGGTGGGGGCGAAGGGGGATGATGATGATGAGGGTGATGATGATCTTGGTGCTGACGAAGCTGATGCGGATGATGCGACTGATGGTGATTATAACGGCAACGGCGATGATGATGGCAACGATGGTGATGATGACGATGATGACGGCGATGACGGTGATGCTGGCGATGAGGATGATGACGGTGGCGACGATAATAAGGATGATGATGATGATGATGATGATGATGATGATGATGATGATGATGACGGCGCAGGGAGGAAAGGAAGTGAACCCAACGCCACATCATATGATGACGACGAGAATAACGATGATGATGCGTCTGCATATGGCGACGGCAGTGATGATGGCAATGATGGTGACGATGACGATGCTGACGGCGATGGGGATGATGATGATGATGATGATGATGATGATGATGATGATGATGATGATGATGATGATGATGATGATGATACGTTTGATTGTGCCGACGGTGATGATGATAACGATGAGGGGACCGGGAAGGAGAGGGAAGGAACGCGGGGCACTCTCTTCAAACGAAGACCCCACACAACAATATAGTATGAGAAAGCAAGCATCAGATGCCTGGGTCCTCCTCCCTCAATGCAACGTCCTTCGGAACAACTCCTCCCTGTCGCACCCCCAAGCGTGTCGGCAGGGCGGCCAAGGCGTTTCGCCTAAGACTTCCTCACCGCTTGTTACCTTGAAGCTCGAAGCTGGCAACACACTCGCAAATGAAGGGGGGGGCTCGTTTGTGCGCTCTCAAAATGTGGCTCTCGCCCTATCGCCGCGCAAATTCGTCTTAAACGGTTGCAGCAGCTACAAGGAAGGAGGGGGGTTCTAACTGTGTCTCTCGCCCTAGCGATGCGCACATTCGTCCCAAAAGTTTACAGCTGTACCAGAGAAGGAGGGCGGCACCTCCTGAAAACAAGCAAGATATCGCCTTGGCGCCGCGCATGCTCGTCTGAGAAGCCTGCATCGGCTCCGAGCATGGAGGGCGGTTCCTTTTCAGAATGAGCTTCTCGCGCTGGGGCCGCGCGCGTTCGTCGTACACGCCAGCACGAAGCACGAAGATGGAGGGCGATTCCATTGCAACACGTGGCGCTCGCTTGGGGCCTCCCCGAGATTGACGACCCGAAGGTCGAATACCCGTGACATCTGCACGGAGGGAGACAACTGCACGGATGGAGGCCGGTGCATCTTCAAGTGGGCTGAAATCGGGCCCGTCCCTCTACAGGGGGAGTATTCAAAAATAGTCAAAAAATAGTCTGGGGACTATTGTTGGAGTACTTGGGAATATTTTTCTGCATTTTCTGACTACTGCTAATTTTTCGTCCAGGATCCCCCGTAGGGGGCAGGCCCGACCTAGAACTGGGGCTCTCGCTCCAGCCTCCCGCAAATCTGGTGCGGCAGCCAGAAGTGCAAACGCGTGCATTTCGGGGGCAGAAAAGAGGGGGGTGATGACTAGGGGGGGGGATATCATGGCGTGGGCCATGATACCTCCCGAGCTTTCATGGCGCCTCTTCTTATCTCGTTACGCCCCTGGCCCCCCCCGCTGGGCCGCGCACATGCCGCCGGTCACGATTTGCACCCCCCCCCCTTGGAAGCCCCCCTCTTGGCCGCCCCCGAACCTCCTCCTCTCCTCGCAGCCCCCCGCCCCCCCCCCCCCACCTTTCGCCCGCTGACCTCCTCCACCTCGCCCCGCAGCCGCACGGCTCGGGACACGGAGGCTGGGCCGGGAGGGGAGATGGAGGCGTGCGGTCGGGGCCGCCGGCGGCACGGGCCTCTGGGCCGCCGCTCTTGGACACCCCCCTCTTGGCCGCTCCCGATGCGCGGAGGGGGGCGGCTCCGTTCCAACACCGGGGCTCTCGCTGGACGCGCCGCTGCATCTTACGACGGCAGCTCTCGTGTCCCTGAGAGCGCGAAGGCAGGACGCAATGGGGCCCCAGGACACACATATAGATACACACAAATCAAAGGATTCCCCAGATTTTCCCATATCTTCTGGGTTTCTGTCTTCCCCTCCACTTCCCATATTTTCCTGAATTTTCTGGGGAGTCGACGATTAATTGTTTCTGTGTGTTTTTTCCCTCCTGAAACACGGGGGCTCCCGCCCGAATGGCCGGCACAGAGGGCGCTCGCCTGTTCAGGGGGCCGCCTCCTCCCCACCTCCTACATTCCCCCTCCTCACCCTCCCTCCTCCTCCCCTCCCCTCCCCCTCCCACCTCCTCCCAGTCCCGCCCGGACCTTCGCGTGAAAGAGTCGGGCCGTGGAGGAGGGGGGTCCCACACCTGTCTTCTTCTTTTCGGGCCTCTGGCGTTCCCCACGGTCCCCGCGGGGCCCTCCAACAAGGACTCGTCGGACGAAGGAGGGCTGGCCCCGGTGAGTGCCCCGGGGTCCAGGCCCCGTTTTCCGCAGGACCTCCTCTCCTTCTTGGCGGCCTCCTTGCAAGACGTCTCCCCAGACATCTGGCGGATTGGGTGCTGCGTGAACACTGGCACGCAACAGCAAAGTATGCTGACCTTCACATTAGGATGACGCACCAGCTTGGAACAGAAACAGACAACGAACAGTGTGTTGCGCCTTGCACCCCCCCTGGAACTGGCACATGTTACATTTGCACGTTAAGATCGAGTATACTCGCAGAACTGTGGTAATATGCAGGCGGGGCCAGCCATGAGATTGCAAGGTACGAGTTCAGATCCTTCGGGCGTCCAAATTGCAACAACTGGCCAATTAAAGTGTTGTCTGAAGCCGGAACACAGCAAAGCCATACTTTTCCTTGGCAGAGCATGTCATCCTTTGGAAGCTCACTGTACTTCACTCTTTCAGAAACATGTAGGCTTCCCGAGGTTCCTGATAATTACGCATGGGACCTCCGAGAGCTACAAAGTAAACGGACGGCACTGTCTGAAGCATATTTTTGGCAGCACGAGTGGGTGCTCATGTCTCCTGGGGGGCTGTTCGGACGGTTGTCAAAACCTTTGACATGTTTGAAGGTCCCGTTGGCCTGATACCGATGCGCGACATGTCTCGGTGGCCTTCGCTAGCATTCAAGAACCCATTGGGGCCAAGGTAGTGTTGCTCCCTCCTTCCCCCCTGCGGCCCATTCTCCTACGTACTCCTCGTCCTCCTCCCTTCTCATTCTCCTCCTCCTTCATCTCCTCCTCCTCCTCCTCCTCCTCCTCCTCCTCCTCCTCCTCCTCCCGCTCCTGCTCCTGCTCCTTCTCCTCCTCCTCCTCCTCCTCCTCCTCCTCCTCCTCCGCCTCCTGCTCCTGCTCCTGCTCCTGCTCCTGCTCCTGCTCCTGCTCCTGCTCCTGCTCCTGCTCCTGCTCCTGCTCCTGCTCCTGCTCCTCCTCCTCCTCCTCCTCCTCCTCCTCCTCCTCCTCCTCCTCCTCCTCCTCCTCCTCTATAATTACTCATTTTCCGCCTGCGCCTACTCTTCCTCGGGCCTCCGACGACAAAGCTGACGACAGCGACAGCGACAGCAGCGACGACGACTGCGGCGACGACGACGACGACGACGACGACCATGACAGCGACGACGGCGTGGACAGCGCCGAAAACGACCACGGCGACGACGGTGACGACGACGCTGACGGCGAGGACGGCCACGGGCGACGGGGACGGGGACGGGGACGGGGACGGCGACGGCGACGGCGACGACGACGACGACGACGACGACGACGACGACGACGCCGCGCCTCCCGAAGGGCCTGCCGCACCGCTGCGCAGCCGGCGGAGCGCCCGCCCTCCGCGCAAGCGCGCGCGAATGCGCGGCCGGCGCAGGCCGCCGCGCCGCGGCTGCGCCCGCGCGGCCGGGGCTGCCAGCGGCTGCGGGCGCACGTCGACGACGGCGGCGTCTTCGCGTCGGGGGCTCTCGGGCGTCGTCGTCGTCGTCGACGACGACGGCGACGACGACGATTAGGTCGGGCACGTCCTCCTACAGGGGGATTTCGAATTGTCAGACAAATGCCGAAATGGTCAAAACATATGTAGAAAATCGTCCCCAGACTTTGTGTTGGACTATTTTTGAATGTTCCCCCTGCAGAGGGACGGGCGCGGCTTGAGACGACGATGGCGGGGCGTCCTCGCGTCGGGGGCTCCATGATTCTGATGGGGCTCTCGGGATACGAGGGGCACAAGAGGAAACTTCTGGGGCTCCGCACGGATTTCTTGGATCTGCTTGGGGCCCGCTGGCGGCGCCTCCGGCGCCGTCCTTAGCGCGCTCCGCGCGCCAGGAAGAGGTTCCAGCGCAGATCCAAGAAATCCGCGCGGAGCTCCAAAAGCGAATGCTCGTGACTGCATTCTTCTTCGAACACCAAGGGGGGATCGGCTCAGGAGGGGTAAGATCAATCTGGGAATCGGCGATGCATCGCCAGATAGGGGCCTGATGGCCCACCATGGCCAAGAGTGTGCAGAATCGCTATCGGGGGCAGGTCGCAGATCTATGGCGATGTATCACCGAGCCCAGCGTTCCAGCTCGATGTTTCCTTCCAGGCCCAGACATGCGACGTCCTGATTTTTTCAGGTCGGCGTCCTCGGAAGTCCCGACCCCTTTCCCAGGGCCGGCTGTTCGTCCTGAATATTTGTTTGACGGTCCCGGGGCCCGGCGAGGGCCCCCAAGGGCCGAAAATACAAAAAACTTGCCGCCCTAATTTTTTCCGACGCGATCATGTCTGGGAAACCTCTCCCCCCTAGAGACTGTTTTTTGTGGAATCGGCGATAACCCGGGTTATCAGGGGGTCAGCGCCCCACAAACGGGGACTCCACTAACGGGTACTTTGGCCAGTGACCCAGCGAACCCAACCCTTCCCGATGCGGGCAACGCTGCATTGCCAGAAAGAGGCCCTAAAGTGTCAACTTTCGGCAAAATTTCAAAGTACCCGTTAGTAAGTACCCGTTACGGTGCCGTTAAAGGGGGGAGGGGGGGGAGGGGGCCGGCCGATAACCTGACCTTCGCGCTGTGGGCGGCCCTGCATATGCCCGCGCCCCTCCCCACCACGGACCTGCACAACCAGCAAGGTTAGGTTATCCTGGGGGGGGAGGGGGAGGGGGAGGGGGGGCAAGCCCGACAATCCGGGTGACCGCCGGACCCTAACAAGAAACAGTCTCCGATCGTTGCCCCTGAAGAGATCCTGCTGCAGGCAGGCTCGGCGGCTGCAACAGGCGCCTCTGCAGGGCGGGGTGCCGCGCGCCGCGGCCCGAGGAGCGGGGGCCTCCCCACTTGGCGCCGAGGTAGCCTGAAGTTTAGGTCGGGCATGTCCTCCTACCGGCGGATTTTGAGCGACAAATGACAAACTAGTGGAAAACTTACTCTAAGAATATCCAGAGAGAGTCCAAAAATCCCCCGCAGACTACTGTTTGACTAGTGTTGGATATTCCCCCTGTAGACGGACAGGCCCGACTTCACCGTAAGTCGGGCCTGTCCTCCTACAGGGGGATTTTGGACGAAAAAGAAACATGGTCCAAACATACGCCAAGCTGGTCAAGAAATCTGCAAAACATCGTCCTAACAATTATTTCTTGACTATTTTTGCATTTCCCTCCTGTAGAGGGACAGGCCCGACTTAAAAAGGTAGCCCGAGGATCGCCCCTCGGCGCCGTGCTTTTGCCCTGCAGCGCGGCCCCCGTGGACCAGACACAGCCAGAACAGGGACCAGACTGGACAGGGCTACAGGGCAGTTTTTAATACATAGGTGAAAAATATATAAGACTTCAAACACATGATTAATTTACGAATCAATCAATGCATAAATGCATAATTGATTTTAATACTAAGTCCCTTTATTGTAATACATGATCCGCACGCGGAGCATGTATTAAAAACGGCACTGCACATCGGAGATCTCTGCGGCGTGGCGGATCTAGAAGCTGTGTCGGGCGCGGCGGATACGTTCTTCAAGCGAAGAACGCCAGCGAGAGGGACTTCTGAGACCGCGGCGCTGCATCCGAGCCTTCGAGGAGTGGCGTGAGAGGCGTCCTGCGGCGACCCTGTGGGCGAAGCCCAGCGGCCTCGAGACATCGGCACAGCGCGCCTCAAAAATCCCTTTCCCTGGGGTCGCCTTTTTGAGCCGCGTGAGCGGCTGCCGCGCCAGAGCGTCCCGGAGCGCTCTTGAGCATCGTTTAACCGATCCCCATCCCCAGCGGCGTGGCCTGGGCTCCTGTGGCCGATTTACCCCCCTAGATGGGGATATAGGTCGTTCCCTTCGGGTTTCGAAGGGTGTATCCCCAACTTTGAGCAGGGACCGACCGTCCTGGCATTCCTATAGTCATACCGCGAAATGTTCTTCTTAGAACCCAAGAATGTTCTAAGAACAAAAACAATGTTCTTAGAACATAAACCCGATGTGATAAAACAAGACAGGCTCCGCCAATCATGCTCTAAGAACATTTCGTGGAAACCACAAGAGGTTCTTAGAACACTGTTTGGTGGGACTACAAGCGAGCCGGGACGCTTCGCCACTGCTTGACAACTGGGGCGGTGATGTGGTGGGGGTCTCGAAGGGGATGGAGATGCGGGCAGTACCTATATCCATATCCAGAGCGTCGTGAACTTTTTGGGAAGAGGTGCCGCAACGCCGAGGCGAACTGGATATGGAAAAAATCAAGCCTCTTGGGGCCAGATCTTTATCAATCTACGGCTTCTGGGGAAGAGAGGCCCAAGAATCCAAGGCGCACTGGATGTGGATATGACTATTGCCCGCAGAAGATGGGGGTGGGGACCGGCGAAACCACACCGAGAGCTCTGGGAGCGCCCCGGAAAAAAACGCTGCGGTAGAGCGCTGTGTGTCCCCGTATCCTGGGCCTGCCTGGCCGGGGAGGCCTCGCCCCTCCGGCGAGTCGGCCGTTCGACGGACCCGCGGGGCCTGGCAGCGGCCCCGGCCCCCGGCAGGCTGTTAGGAGGAGGAGGAGGAGGAGGAGGAGGAGGAGGAGGAGGAGGAGGAGCGCACGTAACTGAGGACGAGGAGGAGGAGGAGGAGGAGGAGGAGGAGGGGGAGGAGGAGGAAACAGAGGACGAGGACGAGAGGGAGGAGGAAGAGGCCCAACTGCAACTCAAGGTGATGAAAAGGTGATCACACAAATCTCCTCCTGCTACAGGCTCCGCATCTCCAGCTGCTGGGCGCAAAGCGGGGCAGAAGCCTCCCTCCATCGCTCGAGCAGGGGCTCGACTGCAGAATCGAGATGCCGCAGCATTGCGTCCCCGTCGAGTCTGCGAAGCATGCAGTGCGGGCGCGGCCGAGAGGGACCCTCGCAAAAAAAAAAACACGCCTGAAAACCCGCGCGCAGGGTGCACCTGAGGGGAAACCCAGAGCACCCTGAACGCATCAGCTTCCTCAACGGCTGCGGGAAGTCACCGCGCAGCGCGCCGAGCGAAGAAACCCAGGATACCCAGACGAGAAGCATATACTTTCTTGATGCGCGCCCCCACTGTACCTACAAATGCTCAGTAGATCTACGGACTGTTCTGCGCACTTTCCTCGTGGGTTCGACGAGTACATCGAGACTGGGGTACATCGATTATGTGGTCGATCCCCTACTCGCACTCGCATCGTGGCTTCTTCTCACGGCGCGAGGGGGTAATTGCAGGGGCCTGGGCCCGCGGGCCGGGAGATCGCCCCCCCCCCCCCGCCCCCCCGAGCGTGTGGAGGTGCACTCCAGCCAACACTGCACCAGCCCTCTTGGTGCAGATGGCTTATGGATTGGCCCTTCCGGCCCCAACAGTTGCCCTTCGCCCTCGAAAGACGCGCGCCCCGTGGACGTGACGTGCCCTGCAGACGGGAACCCCGTTGAGACAACTGCCCATGCACCAAACCCAATGCCACTGAAACGTAGAGACGCCGGAGCAGAAAGTTGGGATAGTTGTCGAACGAGAACCGCATGCTCAAAAAGTTTGCCCTACACCCCTGCAGCTGCTGCTCAGGTTCATTCTTCGGACGGAAGGACTCTATGAAAGCACCACCACCACCCAAAAAAACTTGGATGCCCCCTCACCCTTTCCCTTCGGACAGGGGATGCCCCCTCACCCTACCAGAACCCCCTCCCCCTGGACCTGGACGGAGGGCCCCACGAGACGTCGGAGGACCCTCTGTGGCCAAGGCTGGTTCTCCGAGAGGGTCCCTGGTCAATCCGAATCACTTCCAGGCCCTGCCAAGACAGCCCAAGATGTTTTAAAGGGACCCTGGGACACGCAAATAAATACATACACATCCCAGGATTTTCCTTATTGCCATATTTTCTGGATTTTCGTCTTCCCCCCCACTTCCCATAGTTTCCCACAGTTTCTGGGGGATCGGCGATGACTTGTGTCTGTGTGTTTTCCCCTCCTGAATGATTCAAGATACCTTCCATCATACCTCCAAGAGGCTTCAAGACCGCCCCAAGACGGCTCCAAGTGGCCACGGAGCCTTCCAAGGACGCCCCTGAAAGCACAACATCCTTTCCAAACCCAATGGGAACTAATGACGCGAGCCTTCTCGCTTCCCGCCCTTTCGCTTCCGATCGGCTTTGGAAGCCTCAAGATGACTCCAAGGTCGCCCAAGGGAGCCCCAAGAGGGGACCAAGAGGGCCCAAAAGGGCCCCTAGAGCGGCCCAAGAGGCAATTGTTCGGCATCCAACAGGGAGACCATAATCAAGAACCCCCTTCTTTGATCGATGGCCTCCAAGGTGGCCCTGAGGGAACCCCCAAGTCCCCAAAGAGGGGCCCCCGAAAAGGCCCACGAGGGTCACAAAAGAGAGCCAACAGGGTTCC